ACAAAGTATATTATTCTACATGAGTAGGTAAAATATATAAAAGAAAAGAAAAAGAAAAATTTTTCTAAAAACCTAAATTATATTCCACCACTCTATGCTTCTTTTGAATATAAACAATCCATCTTCTCCATATTAATAAAAATTGTTCATTTGAATAATTCTTCAAATAAGCCGAAATCTTTGCCATTTCAGCAAGGTATACATCTGTATACAATGTTTACCAATATCGGTGTAAAGAAGAACTAAAATATACTAATGTAGCACTAAACATTGGTATCTTGGTTGATGACAAAGAAGAGAATACAATTTTGGATCTTTTGGTTCCCTTCCAGTTAGATTCAAGCTGGGCATGGGACTGAAACAGCAGGGATTATATTTATAGATGAATTCTGGTGGGAACAGAATGGGCATAGTCCATACATTTTTGTTCTCTCCTTGATCTTTCAGTAGCTTTCTGTACCATCAGTCACGGTATCCTTCTACATTAGCTGTGGCACTCAGAACTTGGAGCCAGAGTTATTATGGTTCTCCTCCTTCCTATAAAGTCAGTTCTAGTCAGTGTTGATGGGAGGAAAAGTCTATCCCACCACCCCTCTTGTGTAGGGTGCCTCAGGACTTGATTTTCTCCTCACTCCTGTTTAGCATTTATAAGAAAGTTATCGGAGTAGATCAATTTGCCAGGGTAATTGGCAAGATAATTTTTAATAGTTCATGTTAAAATGAAATATGAGAAACATTCAAATGTCTTCATATATGTTGGTTAAATGCATATTCCATTGTCATGATAAAGATTAAATGTTTTAGGTACTTTTAGATACAAAATACAACAATTTGTCTCAAACCAGTTGGTCCTGAAATGGACAGGACAGATGTTTAATACTTAAATCATTAGGTCTCAAGTCTGAAAAGAAAGCAATGTTAAACTGATTGGGAAGCAGGGACCACATTGCCTTCAAATTTAATTTGTATGCAAACAAAAAATTGCCAAGAAATACAGTACATCAACATAAATGATTAAGGATATAACATTTGACATATATCAAAATGAGGGATATGACTGACTTGTACTAAAATTCCAAAAGGTAAAGATACAGTATGAGCTAACTTTTTGCTGTCTCATAATCAGTGAAATCAGAATCGTAAAAGATGAAGAACAGATAACATTTCAACAGTGTACATTTAATTCAGAATTTGATTCGGTGGTTCTTGTCATTAAAAGAAAGTAAGATATATTTATCAGAACTAAATTATCACTAGCTACCACTGTGCATTTTATTACTGTTTATTAGAGAACAGAAATTTGAATGGTTAACTATTATAGGCAAAAATGCTACCTACGTCTGATCTATATAGTTGTACTAACATTTTTAGTAAAAGCAGTCCTCAAGTTATGACCATAATGGAACCTGTCCATCATGGTCACAATTCATGATTGTAAAGCAGGTTGCTCATGTTATGGACCTGATTTTGTGACCCTTTATGCAGGGATTATTAAGCAAATCCATGTTTGTTAAGCAAACCATAGGCTTGGGTTTGCTAAAAATTGATAGTAAATGCTGTTTTTGGCAAAACCATTTTAAAATGTGTTCACATGACTGTATAGGATTATGAAATTGGCCATAAATCAGGAAACGAAGTCAAGGAAATAGTTGGTCCACTAACAGGAGACGATGGCAAGGATGTGACAGGCAGCAGGGAGGAAGCAGAATTGTTTAATTCATTCTTTGCATCTGCCTTTATAGAAAAGGAAAAAACCAGCTCCATCAACAATGGGTTCTACATACTGCTTGTTATCTTAAGATAGTAACTGTACCTTTATTAGATGTATCAAAGTTTGCTGAAGTTGAGATCTACTGAGTACCGCTGAAGGTAATGTCTGAACATCTGTACCAAGTGTCACAGGAGAAGGTGAGCCAACTTTGTTTTCAATTTCAGAGGATTTCATAGTGGACTGTTCAAACACACTAGGTGAAAGGAGGACAGAAGGTGCAACTGTAGTTGCTGTGGTAGCAAACTGTGTAGAAGCAACCTAAAAAAACAAAACAAATTTTGAGAATCCTTATTTATTGTTTCAAAGAACACTGTATAAATCCAGTTCCCATAATGTTAAGTCCATTACTTCCATTATTGTCAGAAAAGAAAGAAGTTGTAGAGATTCCCAATTAAAATGAAAAATGTCAAGTGACATGTCAGAAAGTACATAACAAAAATTAAAGATATCAAATTTGAAGAACCTCTTTGAGGACATAATTAAATGAATTCAAATTATGCAAATTTTATTGACACTTCAGCTGAAAGACTATTATGTTGCCATTTATAATATGGATGTGTTATATTTTCTCGAGTTTATTAAAAAAAAGTACACAATCTTACAAATAAAAGGTACTAGGATATACTCAGGCAACAGAAAGCATTAAGGAAGAAAAATATATTTATTTATTTATTTATTTATATTTAAACTTCTATGCCGCCCTTCTCCCCAGAGGGACTCAGGGCGGCTCACAGCATGTTAAAAAAACAACACAAAAAAAAAAACATTTCCCCTATAAAACCAATTAAAAAGCAAATATATTAATAGCTGTGTCATATTTAAAATCTTTGAAAATTTCTAAAAATTATTCCCTATTTAAAATTCACCCTAGGTCAGTCCCGCTTGTTGAAAAAGCCATGTCTTGAGGGCGCGGCGGAAGGTTAGGAGATCCGGAATCGTCCGGATCTCGGGGGGTAGCTCGTTCCAGAGGGTGGGGGCACCCACAGAGAAGGCCCTCCCCCTGGGGGTCGCCAGCCGACACTGCCTGGCCGACGGCA